TCAGGAAATATTTTATTGCTTAGGTAAAGAGGAGGGGGCTTGATGGAAAAGATGTGTTAAAATTGACAATTAAGACTGGGTAGAGAGATGGGTAAATGAATGTTTGCTTGTTATTTAGTGTAATATAGTTGTTGGCTAGAATATACAGGACTGCAGAAGGAGGAAAATGACCTGTTTTGATGCAATGGATCATAGTACTAGGTTTTTTTTCTCTTAAAGTTCTTTTCTTTTGTATATAAAATATTTTATTGCTTCAGTTTGCTTGCTGGAAATGCAGCATGTGGTCAGGTGGTGACAGGCATCACAAGGCTTCTTTGTGAAATAAAAGAACACAACCTTCCTCAAGCCTCTAGGGGCTGTGCCCTTTGTGATTTGCTTAGGTTAGTCCCCATTGGACTTTTGGTTAGATATAAAGACTATCAGGACCACTGTGTTATTTAAAATAATAGATTTACTGCGGAATTATTATTATTAAACCAAAGTTGGCGTTTTTGTTTAGATGAAACCATATAAAAGCAGCATTCTGAGTAAATTATATAGCGTCCACTTGATGAAATAATGAGCCTAAGTTTAGGAGATGAAAGTAATGATCTAATGCAATATTTAGAATGAGTGTTTAGTATGTAGTTATTAACCTAAAAGTCACATCCTGCATTCTTTTAATTTGTGAAAAATTTGTCACTAATTGCCCAAGAAACCTCTGATTTTTCATAGCTGTTGACTTTCTCCCCCTTATCCTGCCTTAAAATATAGCCCTATAAACAGCAGATTACTCTCAGATTGTATGCCCTTTTAAACTATCGAACTGCTAAGTTTAGCCCCATTGCTCTCTTTTCAAAAATAGAATTCTTCCCCCATCCAACTTTGTCTTTGAGAAGCTACCAACAAATCATGGTTTTATTTTAATGACAACTGGTTTAAAATCTTATTTACCTTTTTACCCATTGAGAACCTGCTAATTATGATTTGGGGATTAATTACTGATGTATAGAAGAAATGGATATTATTTTCCATTTAGAGGCAGAGTGATAGATAAGTTCTGACCTTTAATTCAAATTCACTCTATATGAGACAGGGTCAGACAAACAGAAGTCAAAAATTGAGAGAACTAGGCAGGTCAATCTCTGTGAGTTCCAGGCCCACCTGGTTTTCATACTGAGCTCCAAGACATCCAGAGCTATGTAGAGAGACCCTATCTCACACACACACACACGAACACAAACACACACAATTGAAAGAGAAAAATAAGATAGTTAAGAAATAAGGTAGCTAGTTTGATATTCAGCCTTGAGTCTAGCTCTTACCTATCTCACTTTAAGGTTTGCAGTTTTGCTTGTGATCATCTCACAATCTACTGCTTCATGCATCTTTGCGGATGCTGTTGTAGCAAGCATCTCCTGACTTTGAAGTAAAACAATAGATGTAATAAAACTGTAGTGATTAATTTCTTGCAGTATTTACTTTATGAATTTGAATTCTTGTGCTGTAATACCATCAGTGTTTCAGAGAGTGACTTTCACTGGGATTTCTTTGAAAGAAGAAAATGCATAGGATCTCAAAAGAGATATGTGAAAGAAGTATCTGTCATATAGAATTTTGACTTCAGAAAATGTCCCCCAAATTGAAGAAGAAGCATTATGAAAAGATGTCTACTGTTACATCCCCTTTGTCTTATTATTTGACAGTTTAAAGGAATAGTAGAGTTAGAACTACAGATGTTAATTGAAAACTTTGAGATCATTTACTATTTTGCAAATTGTGAGATACTATCTGCCTATACATTAAGATTTAAAATACTTTGATTTTGAAATACGTTAAAACCTGTAAATTTAGCTAAAGCAATCATAACTTTATGGCTAAAGTATTTGGGGATCAAAGTTAAATTAGATGTCAACCTACTTGGAAATTGGCAAAACATAGAAACCATGAATCTGGAATTCCCTTCCAGGGCATTTTCACTACAAAATGTTCTTTTGATTTTGCATTTTGAAAGACACAGAAGTGGTCTGTGAAATGATCATTAGCACTAGGCAGTCCATGCAGCCCTGGAGTGTTTCATGGTTCAAATGCCCAAGACCAGATGGAAGTCCAGAAGTGGATGACTCAGAATTTATTAGTTTTGCCACCTGGGTAGTACAGTCAAACCAGCTGCCACAAGGCAGTTCCAATTTCAGAAGAGCAGTAAATGAACACAAAAATGAGAGTCAGTTTCCATAATAAAGGAAAATGACTGATAGGTACAGTTACCATGCAGGGAACACGGCAAGAAATGGTTAAGGCACCTTGCACTGAAAAATCTACACCTGAGTTCTTCCAGAAGCAACTATCAGTTTAGGGTGTGTTCCAATTACAGGCTTGGAAGGTTCCCAGTCACAACTGATGATCTGGAAAAGGAAATAAAGCCAGTGTTGTATCAAAGCTATGTCATGAAGCCAGATGGGTTTTTTTTATAAATTATGATATATTATTTATCAACCTTTCACAGTCCTGATCTCTGGAGGTCTAAGTGTCTAGGGATCCTAATATCCCTATTGGTGGTGATAGAAATCCTGCCATTAAGCCAGGAGGTGTTGGTACACGCCTTTGATCCCAGCACTCAGGAGGCAGAGTCAGGCGGATCTCTGTGAGTTCAAGAACAGCCTGGTCTACATGAGCTAGTTCCAGGACAGCCTCCAAAGCCACACAAAAACCCTGCCTCGAACCCCCTCCCAAAAAAAATCCTGCCATTATCCTCATGATTTCCTTATGTGAACTTGAAAATTTATAGGTTGTGCCCATGTTCCCAGTATACAGCAGGACAAGGCACGAGAATGGCTGAGAGTTTGAAGCTAGTATGGCCTATGAAATTTGTTCCTGGGTAGCCTGGATTGTAGACTGAGGTTTTGTCTCAAGTCTCAAACCACCAACAAACCAACCAAAATCAAAATAAGAGGTTTTTCAGGATCTGTTCACAGATCACTAAGATTCAGAGAATGAGGCTGAGGTTTCAGATGCCCCTAAATGGATCTATGGTGCTCAAGAACAAAATGAGCCTAATAATGAAGGTATGGGGATCAGACCAAGTTGAGAGAGATATAATAACCTTTGCTTAAATGAGGAAGGCTTATTTACTTTTAATTTTTAACCTTTTATTTATTCTTTGTGTCTTTCACATCATGCATCTCAATCTTATTCATTTCCTGTCCATCCATATCTGACCTCTGCCCTTCTCCCCCGCTCTCCCCCGATACAATTTAAAGGAGAAAAGGAAAAAAGAGGGGCATCTCATCGTGGAAGCTGTAGTGTGACAGTGAGTCATGCCGTAAACCCTTTAGTCTCTGTATCTTTACTTGCAAATGTTCATTGCCAAGAGCCATTGGTCTCTGGTATCTGTTACACTATCAATGCTGGGCCCTCACTGGAACTCCTCTTGGTTGTCCTGCTGTTGCCCTGTGTAGTGGAAATCCTGCAGCTTTGTGTCTGCAGGACTTGTCCCTTCACATGTTCCAGCAGATCACATGTTGGGTGGGTATTGGGGTAGGCCAACCCATAACCCTGGTTCTGGGCCTGGGTAGTTGCAGGGTTGGTCAGCCTGCCAGCTCTCCCTTGTCCTCACCACCAGAGTGAGCTCTCTTGAATTGCCTTGGCGTGTTTGCCCTTTCCTTCCATGAGCAAGGGGTGGGGCCGGTTCTCCTGCTTTCATGTCCTCAGGATCAGATCTCCCATACCTACACCTTTAGGGCCAGATCTACTGTGTTGCCCAGGTAAGGGGCAGGGGACACTCTCCTGAGTTCTGCAGCAGATGAGGCGCAGGGCTAGCGCCCCCACTCTTATGACCTCAGGGCCAGTTTTCCCACCTGCCTCAGGCCTTGAGGGGGGGTATCTTTCTCCTGCCCATGATGCCACATGACAGGTGAATAGTGGGGACAGCTCTTCCATGCTCACAGTATCGGGCTGGCTCTCACACACCTTTGACAATAGGACTGGATCTATTGTGCTGTGGATGGGAGGTGCAGTGGCCCACCTTCCCTTGGTGTTGGTGCAACTGGTGTTGGGCAGGGGCAGTTCTCTTGCCCTTCTGGCCAGCTCTCCCATCTGTCTCAGGCATTGATGAGTGGGAGGAAGGTTTATTATTGAATTAAAAAAATCAGTGAGGAGGCCTAGGCAATCTATTGGGCCTTGGGTAGTAGATCAGTAATTATCCCTTGCATACAAATGGACTTTGGGTGCCCATCCAACAGTGAGAGATACATTTTCAGCCTGGACTCTTGGGGAAGGGTCTAGGCCCTGTCCTGGATGAAATGACAGACTATGGACACCCCCATGGAAGGCCTCACCCTCCCTGGGGAAATGAGGGGATATTGGGGGGGTGTTGGTGGGAGGGTGTGGGAGGAGGGGAGGAAAAGGGAGAGTGGCCTGGGATTGACATGTGAAGCAACCTTGTTTCTAATTTAAACTTAAATTTAAAAGTAAAAATTAAAAAAAATCTTGTTTCTCCATGTCAAAAAATGCTTGGGCATTTTTTTTTCAAAAAACAACTAAAGTGGATGAATAGAAGCTTGGCATTCTTTCTTTTTATATGTTGAAAACTCAGGAGACTGTAGACCCTTGCTTTGGTTCACTGGCTTTAGTGATGATGCAGGATTTTTGGTGTTACCATGATGAAAAGAATAAGGGCATAGCCAAATAAGGTAGTTTATATAGTACTTGCTGACATAACCTGTTATGCCTTTTGTTTCCCTCCATGGCTAGATCAAGGTGCCCTTGGCTTGGCTGACATCTGCTTTCCCTTGACCTTTTCAGGAGATGAATTTTTCTGTGTTAATATTCCTAAACTGATCATTACTTAGTCACATAATAATGTTCTCTGTATGAAGATAATACAGACATGTGTATATTCCTACTGAATTTGGATCTTTCCCCCTCTAAGATGACAAGGAGTGAAATGGCTTTATAGTATAACATTTTATTAATGATTATAGTTAAACTAACTCCCTTTCTTCCTATTTTTTTTCTGGCAGGTGGCGTGTTTGACCCACATAGCTGCTAGTTATCTTATTGGCCAAGAGGAACCAAAACGATGGGGCACAGCTCATGGCAGCATTGTTCCTTATCAGGTACAATTTAGCCTTCATTATTAGAATCTGCAGATCTATAAAATATGACTCTGGAAATTATTATTATTATTTTTACAAACCCTCCAGGGTTGTTCTATAATGTTTCTCTCTCTTATTATAGCAAGGTTCTGTTGTTCTCTTTTGATTTTTTCATATTTATTCACCAGAAGATTGGTAGTAGAACACTTAGGTGGATCAAAGGAACTTACAGAAAATGAATTACTTTGGAGCTCATAATATGATGGTTTCTTCATTTCTTTCTTTTTTCTTTCACCTTAAAGCTTCTGTTATGCCATTGACTTTTGCTACTTTATAAAGCATGGTATGTTATCATGCTAGCTATAAAACAAATGTTACCTTCTCCATCTGACAATAATATTCTCAGAGGGTTAGAGTGAAGTGAAAATTTGCATGTGATGGATCTTCATCCTTGGAGAACAACAGATGGTTTGAACTGCTGTTCTTTATTAAGTGTCTAAACTTAACCTCAGAAATTCTGGACTTTGGCTAGTACAAATGATTATGTGAAGAAACTGTGATCCTTCAAAGCTTTACTATGTCTTCCAAGCCACTAGCCTTAGCCTATCCTAGTTGCATATTTCTTTGCATTTCCTATTATTTGTCAAGCTTTATGTCATACGTCATGAGTTTAAGAGTAGTGGGGTCTTTCTCATTTCTTCTGCTATATCCAGGAGAACTCTAAGCAGTGCACCCTGGAAGTTTCTGCTGAATAAAGAAATGGATTTTGCTCTAGCTATTTCAACATATGTATTCTTGACAGGAAGCAGAAAACTCAGAATTTTTCATTTGCTAGGAAATCCATCAGCACTTCCAGTCATCCTTTCTTTTTTTTTCTTTCTTTATTTTTTAAATTTAAATTAGAATCAAGCTTGTTTTACATGTCAATCCCAGTTCCCTCTCCCTCCCCTCCTCCCCTGTCCCCACTAACCCCCATCCCTGCTCCCCAGGGAGGGTGAGGCCTTCCATGGGTGATCTCTCCCTCATGTGTCTAGGCTGAGAGAGTATCCCTCTATGTGGAATGGACTCCCAAATTCCATTCATATGCTAGGCATAAATACTGATCTACTACCAGAGTCCCTATAGGTTGCCGAGACCTCCTTATTAACACCCACGTTCCAGCCATCCTTTCAATGTTAAGAGATTATTTCCTTGGGCAGGTCTAGTTTCATCTCCATTTATTTTAAATCCAAACCTGAGGAATGGATAACTCAGTTTGAGCCCAGTATGCTGCCCTCTCTTGTTCTGTTTTTGTATATCATTGCTTACTTGAGACTTTGCTATGATTTTCTGGTGCAGTTGCTTTTCTCACATTGAGTTACCTTCTAGGATAATTACAAGTTTGGAAGATTTCTTCAGTGCCTCATTGTTTGTTTGTTTGTTTTTTCCACTAGTGGATTCTTGACCACTTTAGGGACATCTGCTTCCCTAACTAAGATTTTCTTGTGGCTGGCTCTAGACATGTAGGTAGACCTTCCTACCTTCATTAATAAAAGTTGTATTTTTGAACTGGGTAGAAATAATCAGATTGAGCCTTCTTATTTTCCATATTAAAAAAAATCTCACACCAGATTGAATGGAGAGCTTCCAACAGTGGCCTCTTGGTACTGTGTTTAGACATTTTCAGTTACTCTGCCAATGATAGGAGTATGATGTGGTTTCAGGGCCCTTCAACTCTTTTTACAGTTTCTTCTCATCCAGTTTGCCCCTAGATCAGGGGTGTGGCTAAGTGATTCATAATTATGATTGATGATGATAATTCTCAACTTTTTTTTAGCAAAGTACAGTGTTAGAATGTATATGAATTCATCTCAAATAATGGAAATTCAGGCTTCAACATTTGATGTACATAGAGAAAGCACATTTCTGAGTTGGAAAGCTTTGTAGAATAATTGTAAGTCACATTACAAAATCTCTCCAGTCTTTCCTCAGGAACATAGAATTAATCTGCTTCTTCTTTGTAGGGAACTGGTTCACCACAATGATTAAAGATTAAATGAAAAATTAACTTTAATGAAACTAATATAGCAAGATGGGTTCTAGATATTTTTCAAGATTTTTGTCTGTTCACAATTTTTAATAGACAGGAGAAATATTTTCATAAGTAAATTCTAACATAATTATAATTTAGTCTCCTATGATAATTACAGTTATACTTCTAATTAGCTTCTTATTGTCTTGAGTTTTTAGCCCTGTGTCTATAATAAAGATCCTGATAGTTTTAGAAGGTTTTTAAGGTTCTCAGCTTGCTTTTATTCAGTTGTTGAATTCCATTTAGATAACCATAGACCTTGAATTCATAGACCGTGAATACATAGAATATATATTTTTAAGAAATGGTGATCCCTCATTATTTGTATTTTATAACCATGTAGTTCTTCTTAATTCTTGGATTGCTAACTTTAATTTTTTTATGTGTTTTTGAGGCAGGGTCTTGCTATGTAGTTGAGTTAAGCCTTGAATTTTGGATCTTCTTGTTCTTGTTCTTCTTGTTCTTGTTCTTCTTGCTCTTGTTCTTCTTCTTGTTCTTCTTTCTCTTGTTCTTCTTCTTATTCTTCGTGTTCTTGTTCTTCTTGCTCTTGTTCTTCTTGCTCTTGTTCTTCTTGCTCTTGTTCTTCTTGCTCTTGTTCTTCTTGCTCTTGTTCTTCTTGCTCTTGTTCTTCTTCTTATTCTTCGTGTTCTTGTTCTTCGTGTTCTTGTTCTTCGTGTTCTTGTTCTTGTTCTTCTTCCTCTTCCCCTTCTTCCTCCTCCTTCCTCCCCCCTCCTCCTCCCTCCTTGTCCTCCTCCCTTCCCCCCTCCTTCTTCTTCTTGTTGACAGGGTTTCTTTGTGTAGCCCTGGCTGTCCTGGAACTATCTCTGTAGACTAGGCTGGCTTCAAACTCACAGAGATCTGCCTGCCTCTGCCTCCTGAGTGCTGGGATTAAAGGCATACACCACCACCACCTAGGGAATTTCTGATCTTTTTACCTTAGCCTTCTGCATAGTAGGATTTAGGTATGTTACACCACAATCAGTTTGCTGGCAGTTTTTAAAACTTAACAAGTTAAGTAAAAATAGAAACTATAGATTGATTTTTTTTGCTGTTTCTGTTAAGAAATATGAGGTTATGAAATTTACAGGTAAATAGCTAGAACTAGAAATAACCATCCAGACTTATGTAACCTACACTCAGAAAGACAAATACTATGTGATTTTTTTCTCGTATGTAGTTGTTAGCTTTTAAGCTTTACGTATGTGTGTTTCATTTAGAATACACATAGAGGTTATGTAACTAGTAAGGGACCATTGGGGAAGAAGGTATATTTCAAGGAGGGGGATATAGAATATAACCTTATAATGGGAAAGGTAGGGAGTAGAACAGGAAAGGCTAAATTGGTTGTGAGATGGGATGAATACTTGGAGGAATATTTAATGCTAAAGGCCTTTTGAAAAAGCCATACGTAAACTAATACTGTAGAAGTTTCCTAGCACATACATGTGTGCATGTGCACACACACAGAGACAGAGACAGAGAGAGAAACAGAGAGAGGAGAAAGAGGAGAGAGAAGGAGGGAGGGAGGGAGGGAGAGAGGGAGAGACAGAGAGACAGAGAGACAGAGAGAGAGACAGAGAGAGAGAGAGAGAGAGAACACATGAGAATGTGAGGATGTCTAAAGGAGGGCAATACCCCAAAGTACACAACATGTGTTAACAAATAAAACCCATGTGGGTTACCTCTTTTTGAGTTGTTAGTTCTGTGGAATCATATAGATCCCCCACAAAATGACAGGATATTGCCAATTTTGTTGTTTACCCACCACAACTTTAACATCCTATAGCAGAAGACATTACATATTTGAGTCAAAGGACCCTAGATGGAGAAAAATCTAGCTGCTGCCCAACTGGAAGTGTCAAACTCATTTGATAGCATTCATACTGATAGAGGGTGCTATATATGCTACCACAAGAGAAAAGTAAACATCAGTCTCACCCAGCTCTGAATCCTGTGAGCTACAATAATGGCATGCCTGACAAGATATGCCCACAGGTACAATAGTGGTACAGGTGTTTGTAACCAAACAACTTTTAAAATTGGATTTAAGTACTGTTCCATGAGATGGAACTCATACCTGACAGTGTCAATGAGGCCAAGAACCTGTGGCTAGATAGGTGATGGGCCCTAGGGGAACTCCTGTTACTGTGATCCACATGGACATGACAATAAAACAACCCTGACATTGCTTTATTATGCCTGCAAATCAGTGCACCACTCAACTTTCCTCAGACGAACTTCTATATGAAGTGTGTGGTAACTGACACAGCGGACTACAAACTGGTTTGTGTGCAGAGAATAAAAGGTATTAGAATATTTAGCCCTAAAAGGATGAGAAGACTGTAAGAGTCAGAGGTGGTAGATGACTTCCAGTAGGACAGTGTTTTCCAGACATAAGAAGGCAGATGCACATATGAACCCACAGTGATTATGACAAGCCAGACGAGGTCCAAACATGGAGGTTATTTACTCCTCTTTCCTTGTTCTCTGTATTATCCTTCCTCTCCCTTCTCCATTTGAATCTCTCTATTTTTCTTTTCCTCCTTCATGATATTATTATTTTCCTTTCCAGAACTCCTTCCTCTCACCTCCTTCCATGGTCTCTTTCTACTTTCCTGGCTTCTATGGTTGTTCCAGGTTATACATTCAAACCTAAAGATTTGGATCTAGGTGGAACCACAAATAAGAGAGATCATGCAGTGTTTGTTTTTCCAGATTTGGGTTAATTCACTTAGTATAATATATGCCAGTTATATTAATTTGCCAGCAAATTCCATGATTTCATTTTTTATAGCTGAATAGAATTTAATTTTGTATTTGTACCATATTTTCATTATCCACTCATCACTTTATAAACATGTAGGCTTCTCATCCTTTTAATTTTGATATTGTAGCCTATAAATTATATACATAAACATGTGGACATAGTTTATATCCTGAAAACTCCACC